GGAATAAGATGGTAAAAAGTGGTCAAAAAGACATATTAATGCAAAACATTATACAAGATCATAGTGCATTTGTTAACCATCAGGTAGACATTTTAATGAAAGCTTCCTAATTCCTGAATCGGCTGTGGAATGTAAGTCGCATAAGCCTATGATTCCCAGCGGCCCTGTGTCTTAACGTGTGCGGGGATGTCTTGGCTATAGGCCGTGGAGGCTGCTCCTATCCTAAAGGAGTGCCCTGAGTAGTTGCTAGGGTTTAGTTCGAGCCCGGTGAATGAGTAGGTGGACATAGTGCATGAACTTACCTGTGGTAAGGACAGTATCGTACAGCGACAGTAATGGTTCAGTGGTGCGTATGGTGGCGTGCCCAAGAACGTAACCAGTACCTTAACTGGGCACCCAGCATTGCTTGTAAGGTAGTAGGTTTTATTCACTGGCTCGCTCATCTGGCTCGTCTTAGTTTTAGGAAGGGACCGGACATAGTGGTCTGTGTGTTTTAGAAGAAAAGAGGTCAACAGGCACTCTTGTTTATGATGTTGACCGCTGACAGTGAGTTATTTTTTGGCCTGAGAAAGCCATTAAAGGCTAGATAGGTAGCAGTTTTGATAACTGCATTGGTGCGTGGCTCAGAAGGTGCATGGTTTGAACATTGTATGTCTATTGCCAGTATTTAGTTTTAGCGAGAATGTCTGCTTGGCTATGTCTCTAAGTAAGGTATGGATGGGGTAGGAGGATAGGTACCCTTGTTGTTTGGGAAGGAGAAATACGTATAGTGTTGAATGCCCGTGAGATAAGTTTAACTGTGTTGTGCGAGAATTTTTAACTTAAGGTGGCAAAAAGAGGTGAAGGCCATAAGTGGTGAAACCTCAAACCAGCTATCTAAGTGATGGTCCAACATGAAACGTATTGTATAAGTGGAAAACCCTGTAGCAAGCGTGTTGAGTGCTGGTGGACAAGGCCAGTTTTGTCAGAGCCCGGCTATGTTGGCGAGGTTCATGTAATCCATGACCTTGAGCATAAATGACCCCCCTGCCATGGCGGCTGTCACGGCAGCTGCCACAATAGTTTACCATTACGTGTGGTTAAGAAAGTCCACCATATGTGTAGGTCTGCCGAGGCTTTGTTGTCTAGGGACAGCCCCTGCTCATCATGCGGGAGTATGGAAAAAGCAAAGTGGTCTTAGATGAAAGCACGGCCTGCTGTATGATGCGCATGGCAAAATTTAAGGAACCTGGTAGGGATTGTAGTTCCATGCGGTTGTAAGTACCAAGCCGGAGGTGGTAATTGGTGTTGTTGCGACTGTTCCTATTTCTCACGTGGTAACTTGTTGGCATGGATGCTGAGTCAAGTTGTGTGCCCAGGAATGTAACGATAGTGTCTGGGTCTTCTGTGACCTTAGGGAATACTGGGACAACCAAGTGTTCAGACATACTAATGGCTTCCTTGAAGCTTCTAGAGGGAAAGGCGTTCCCTTTGACCAACAAGAAGTCATCTCGTGAGTGTATGACTGTGGGGCATCTGGATATGTTTAACCACAACCAGCAAAGAGTTCAATGAATATATTGAAGATTGTGAGCTGCTCTTGACCTGAAAGTTAAGCGGGAGAAGAAATATATAACTGCTGCCCATAAATGCCCTGTAAGTGCCAGTGTAGGGTGGATGGTGGCAGTCTGCGTTTGTGATATCAGTTTTACTTAACCAGGCTTCCCCCCCTGCTTGAGTGATAGCTGTAATGGTATGAACAATGGTGGCATACTGTATTGAAAACTCCTCGGAGGGTATGAGTGAGTTGAGACTTGGAGTAGCTGAGGCGTGAGGTGCAGATAAGTCTATGATTAGTTACAGTGTGAGGCAAGATTCCCTGTGACAATCCCAGTGGGATTGCGCCACGCTGTAAATGGTGTAGATCGGAGAGGCCCAGGTAGAAATCTTTCTGCCATTTTTGGGCCATGAGTGTAATGCCAGCTGTTGGATGCTGCTGTGATGACTGCAAGTTAGGGCATTCTAGATTCCCCCAAAAGTATATGGCAATACCTGTACGGTAGGCCTTTAAAATTCGGAGATTAGGAAATCAACTAAATGTCTGGAAGGGTGATGAGTTAGAAAGTACTGGAAATGCATAATGTTTACAGACGTCCAGGGTACATTTATTGGGACACATGTGCCCTGCAATATTGAGAACATATCTGTTATGCAACAGTCTGCATGCACTGAAACTACATGTGCCAACATGGAAATTGTTGCAGATCTGGGATTTGCCAAAGAGAATGAGATGACCCAATTTGTCTCTGGTAGTTCTCTACGTACTACCAGAGGTGATAGAGCCTGGAGCCTGAAACATGATCGTCCGCTGTGTTGGGACAAAATTGTCGTGTGGGACTAGCAACATCTTCTCCAAGTGAAAGTATGTTGACTCTAGCTGGAGTGTTAGGTAGAGAGAAATCCTTACCACCTGCTTGATACATACTAAAAACATGAAGATAGCCATTATTATATGAACCCACAGTGTGCTAGTACTGGCTTGCTAGCTAAAGCCGCATGGCGAAACAATTAATTCTTTGTTTGGTGACAGGTGAGGCCCTGCTAGTTGCCAAGTGGCTTGAGAGGCTCTATCTATGCAATGGCGCGAGGAGACTAAACGTAGTGGCAGGATGTTGGCCTCTCGGTGACTATAACCAGAAAAAAGGGGAAGGGAGGGACAGGTGAGGCCCTCTATATACCATGAGAGGCGGCTAGCTCACGAGTGGCCCGAAGGGTGTTTGCCTCCGAGCGTTGAGGCGGGGTGTTGGCGTTGTGGGACCACTATACGACAGGCGTAGATGCCAAGAAAGGAGAATACCTATTGGAAACCTATAGTCCCTAATTGCCAGTACGCTAAGGATAAACCCAGGGGGAAACAGAAATTGGATGTATATACCACATGAGCAGGTGTATGTACCTGGTAGTATGATTAGATACCCTTACTGGTTGTAAGGCTTATTAATACCTGTATCCCGGATGGGTAAAACAATGTATGAAAATTTAATATAGACATTTAAAAGCGTATATGTCTGTTATGCAAGTTTAATAGAGCAAAGTGCTCCGTCCCAATGTTTATTGTATGCTTGTAATGCCCCTGTTTGAAGGAAATTAACTTGTCGGGAGTGTTATATCATGTGTGATATGGAATACTACTGTACCCCGAAACATGAGTGTAGTGAACCATGACTGGCAGCTGAATAACCGAATATGTGAAAATACTTAATTGGAAGGACTTCTATTTTAAGCGTGCAAACATGCAAATATTCTGTATTAGACTCTGGAATCCTGCATAGTGCTTTAAATAGTATGTGCATTCTTGGGTAAATTTATGCGTATTGTCAGTAAATGTAACTAAATGCCTATGTAGGCAGGTATGCCGGAATGATTATATCATAGCAAGCATGAGTTGTAAGGAAGTGTTATTGTGTAATTATAATTATAGTGGAAATGTTATGAGGGTAATAACCATATGTCTGAAAAAGCCTGTAGTATACCGTTTGACAGATAGGAGTCAGTATAAAAGCGAAAATGCTGTAGTTAGTTTGTTTGCTTATGAAGTGAAATAAAGTCTGAGAAGCCTGTAGTACACCGAATGACCGATAGGGGCCAGTGTGTAGGTGAAAAATGCAGTGGTTCGTTGATTTGTACATGAAATGCAATAATGTCCGAGAAGCCTGTAGTACACCAAATGACCGGTAGGGGTCAGTGTGTAGGCAAAAATGCAGTGGTTCGTTGGTTTGTACATGAAATGCGATAATGTCTAAGAAGCCTGTTGTACACCAATAGACCGGTAGGGGTCAGTGTGTAGGCAAAAAATTGTATTTCGTTTGTAGTTTTAACCCAAACAGATTTTACATGAACAGCTAGGTGAGTATAAGGTAACGAAATAACCGTGCAAAACAAAAGGAAACCGTAAAGTGAGGACCTGTGCTGTGCTGAACGCCGTGGGAACTAATCCTGGCACGACAGGTGGGTCAACTTACAGTTTGAGAGTCCCTGAGACACCAAATGTGATGCTGACCGGAGAGAAAGCCACTAGATTAACGGAAAGCCCTGCTGCAGGATTCCTGGACACAGCTTGGAGTAGGAGACCTCATGGAGCAGAGGTGAAACCAAAATGGCGTCTTGTATGACCTGGAAGTGGATCTCATGCAAATGCTGACCTTGAACAGTTTATTCATCTGACCAACAAAAGTAAGTAGGGAAAGAGGGGAGTCCCTTTTATAGGTCTATAGCCCCTCCCACAACTTCAGGCCATGCCTTCCAATATATATATCCCATGAGTCTGTATACAGAAATAAACCTCTTGTAATGTAGTCCTGGTTTAACCTTGGAAAGATGAACTTATATCAACAGACATAGAATGAAAAAAGACAAATAAGAGAGAGACTCACTAAGGTGTTAAACGGTTAGAAATAGGAGAAAGAGAGATGTATAGAGGGATATAAAACATAATTGTAAGACCTATATATTAGCACAAGTCAATAAAGCAATTAAACAGGACAATGTCTACTGTGTAAATGTATCATAAATATACCATAGGTAGAGTGGAAGAGGATAGTTTGTATTGAAAGGTACAGAATCTTAGCCTTTCAATGATACAGCGTAATAATGTGGTATATGTACCTAGCGAGCTACTTGCTCAATACGTGCACAAAATAGATACAAACATTGTAGCGGACAGCTGATTTCCCACAGCTTATATTGGGATATTAAAATAATGCAGGAACAAGTAGTAAATCCAAGAGGGTAACCAGCACAATCATCAATAAAATCCAACAGTATCCCATCTCCTTTCCCAATCACTGGACGACACACAGTATCAGGAGTAGAACTGAACTTTATTGGCAACATTCCTGCTTTTATGAGATTCTCCCATGCAAGGGGAGGGACTCACCATAATTACTACAGTAGCCAATCCCATAGACGTTACCTCCCATACATCTCCTCCCCTTAGATTAACAGTTAACATAATTATACAGTGCATACCTTTCCCCAATTCTTGGATGTACCCCCTGATCTGGGTGAGGAACATATCCAATAATCACCAGGGGTTCGGGAGTTATGAGAAGGTAAAGATTTGACCGACCGCATGGGTAAAGTAGCCGGAAATAGTTCCATGAGATCTGGCCCTGCGGTCGGTCTCTGTTTGTGCCTCAAAAGTCCCGAAAGGCTATGCCATCCATAGTTAGGTTTGTAACCGGATGAATCCCCTAGTTCGTGGGATTCATCCTACCGAACAACGGGCCATTCGCACGTTTCCATTTGTACTTTCTGAAGCCCTGGAGGTCTTAGCGGTGTTCGGTTAGTCGAGTGTCCGTTTTGAGTTCCAGACACTCGACGACCAAACACCACTGTTCGCGGGTTTAAGATGGCCGCCGCCACGTGTTCGGCTGCTGAAAT